TAGCGAACGCTGAGTACGGCCGATATACCTGGCTCCATACGAGCAGGTGAATTGGTAGATGCACATAGATGAGGCCAACAGCGGTAGCTTATCCTTCACGGACATACGAATCATTGGTCTCGCGGAGAACGTCAGTCGTAATTCAGCTGCAACGAAGGTTTTCTTCAATGAGCGGGAGAGCCGATTTCTCAGTATTTCTGTAGACTGGTCTCCATTGAACTGTAGGTTCATATAGAGAAGTCTTTTTGGAGCACTGGGTGGACTCTATTACTGTTTATTAGTAACACTGCGTTTTCTCATAGGTTTTATATAAAAGCACTTTATCGTTTTTCCACTAGTTGCTGTTCATTCTACACAATCTTATCGATTAGTCATTATCTCACACTTATTACGTCATGCCAACTTCTGCTTCTTTTCTAACCTCCATTTAGTCATTCCATATTAGTTTGTTTATTAGATGTATCACACAGTGAGTGAAACAGTATTATTTACTGGATGACGTTTCGAACAAAATTTATTGTTCATAATCATATCATGTCCATTTAGTCATCCTTTCTAGGTTACACCTTACATTACGTAATACATTTTTCGAGGAGAAATTTTGCCTTTTTCTGATTGGTCTTATGATTTCTTTGCTAAATATAATTGCGATTGTACAGCTTGTAGAAATGAAAAATTTCCTCACTGTTTACGTCTTTTTCCTATGGTTTATTTCTCTTATATTTATCAATAGTCCTCATGCAAGCCCTAAAATGATACATAAAATCAACACTTCAGAGGTTACATTTTTGGTTTAGCTCTCCAGTGTTGTTGTATTTTTCACAAAATGGGATGGCAAAGAAAGAGGTGGATTTTCATAAGCATAGTCACTAATTTTAATCCATACTGTAAGAGATTTTGAACAGGGGTGAAAGAATCTAATAATGAGATAATAATTTAATGAATTAGTTGTAATCAGGATGTACATAAGTGCAAAAGAAATGTGACACTACCAAAGAGTTAGCAGTAATGGTTTACTTATATCGGATTAAAGAGTTAGCTGACGATTGGGAGCAAAGAAAATTTAGCCATATCCCTTGCAAATGGCTTCTAGTATATTTGCAGCCATAACTGTCTAGAAGAGGAACTAAGCCTTCTGAAGGAATTCCTCATTCAAATTAGAAATATATCAGTATTTACTGATGACAGCAAGAAAGTGAACGCTAAAACACTTGAGACATTGCTGTCGTAAAAAAAGAAACTTTAGATGATTTCAAGAATGACGTGAACTGTGTAGTCCATAAAAGAAAGATTTCAACATCTTTAAGAAGAAGTTTCTATAAAGCCACGGTGAAAGAATTATTCTCCAGTCAACTTTTAGTCTGTGGAAGCCTAAAAGGCAAGATTTCATCCCTCACTATTTACCTTTGCATATTTGATTTCATCGTTCTCTGTGCAGTCAGGTATATTTATTGTTTGATGTGTATCATGTACAATTGGGTTCAAATCTACCATCCCACACAGTCACACAAAGGTAGCAGTGGCCTTTTAAGTGACGTTTCTGCAAAGTGGAAAGCAGACTTACAAAAACAACACGACTTAGACTCCTTTGTACAGCTGAAGCTTCAGCTATTCAGGTCGAGAAGCCAGAGTACTGCATACTAAAGAGAATTCTCGAACCGCTTCTGCTAACATCCTACAGACCCTGTTGTTTTCAATCAGCTTCTCCTTTTTTGCTGTTGCTACTACTACAACAGTTTTGTCTGTAGTTAAACTAATAGATAAACTTTACCATGCATTCCGAAGTCACTACAAAGGACAGAGGTGGAGAAGACAATCGATAAAAGAAGAAAGTAACTGAACAGTACGAATAAAGGTATACCAGTGCGCTGAGTTATGATTATGTTCGATAAATAATTTCCACAAAACTATATGCTATGTGAAATCAGTCAATCTTTTATGAACTAGATGATTGTATAGTTCGCTAATGATGCATGGCATAGTGGTAAACTTAGTCTTTCCTATGGCACTAATAATGCACTATCCTCCTCTCAAGTACAGAATAACAAAATATACCGGTTTCCTTTCCTTTTTCTATCATAGCTTGATTCCTCACCGTATTTTTTGGTACAGGTATGGAATTTTCAGCATGTGATATCGGTAGCCCGAATTTTGCAGGCCAACAATAGATGTCATGTGTGCTTCGGCAGGGGATCGAGTCCTGGACCATGTGCATGGTCTGTGAGATTCATAACCGACATACTATATGGACTGCCAACAGGAAGTTCGTATGAAAGACTAAAAAGTTACTCTATACATCGAAATCCATGCCAATAAAATGAAAACTTTTGCAAGTGCAATGATTTAGTCGTACAGATTTTAGAGTAATCAACGTTAACGTTGATAATGATGTCAAAAAGGCAGAGACAATGAAACTCAGAAAAAAGTTTATGCAGTAACAGGATTTCTGTAAGGAAAGTTATGCATTGCCAAAATAGGAAGAGAGTTACTGAAGTTAACATGATCCTCATAGCTCACTCTCAAGAATCCAATTTTATACAATCATGTCTGTGCGTCGGTGGCACAGTGGTTAGGACTCTTGCCGACCATTCACATGGTCCGGGGTTCGATCCCCTGCCGGAGCACACCCGATATCTATGGTCTGCCTGAATTTGGGCAACCGATATCCATGCTGAAAATTCCATACTTGTACTGAAAATACGGTGTGGAATCAAGCTCTAAATAAAATAAAATAAAAAAATATATATATATATTCCAATTTATATGCTTCTTCATGAATGTGTAAATTATTGAATATTACTAGAGGTAATGAAAGTCAGTATCAGAAATGTCGCTTAGTGCACTGATGAAACAGGTATTTCGAATCCACTTGTCTCTTCTGTTGCGTGTTCAGTAGTAATAAACAATAGTATTCATAGCTTTCTACTAATTAATTGCTACTGTTTAGTAGGATGGGCTGTATCATCAATTCAAAATTACTGTTGTACAAATAAATTATAGACTAGACTAAGCAGAATTCTGTTAAAAAGCTAGATTTATTGGAATGTAGGAAGACAATTATAGTAATTATATTGACATCAACTAATTATTTGGCTTCTTAGTTATTTCTGTATAGACAGAACGAAAAAAACCATTTACTTAACTAAATACATCTTCAAATATCAGATCAGCAACATGAATAAATAAAAAAGATTCAAATAAGTTTGTATATGGTTCATATCTGTAATACTTTTTAGTCCCCTGAGCTTTAAGAAGAAGTTAAAAGTAAAACAAAAAACCCGACGAAGTAGTAACTTTCAAAGCTGTCTACCCCTAAAATACAACTCAAAAAAGTTTTTTTAACTTGCATCCTTCTTCAAAAGCCATATCTCATATACATTTGCATAAAGGGAGAATAAAAAGAAGTGCCAAAGGATAAATCTTACAAGATAATTGATTTCGAGTTAGTTTTCTGCTCGCTAATCAACAAAAATGGGCGTTTGTGGTACAGTGTTAGGATGCTCGCCAACCGCTCATGTCGTCCGTGGTTCGAACCTCGGCCAACGTATTGAGAGTAGGCAGGGTGTAAGGCTAGCAATCCCACCCCCGTAAAAATAACACAAAAAGCTACAGAAACTTCAAAGCTCATGTTTGAAGCCTCATTTTCCAGTGGGAAAGCGAAATGGCATTTTTAAAAATAAACAACCATTCCGAACAGAGTTTGTGAGTATGTATGAGAAGTGAACTCGCATTATAATCATCGTATTCATGGATATCAAAGACCCTTATTGTCAAACGCCGCTTTAAACAATAATAAACCAGTCAGTAATATACGACGGTTATTTAAAGACTTGTAGGGTTAGAAATTCTGTTCACTGATTTCAGCAGTCGTACACACGGAATGTCGGTAATGCCATCATTCTTGAATTAGACGTCAACTGAAAACATATGTGTAAAACTTTGGCACTGTGGCAGTAAGTAATTCCATATTAGTTTGTTTATTAGATATATCACACAGTGAAACAGTAATAAATGCTGTTTCACTGTGTGATATATCTAATAAACAAATTAAAATGGAGTCAACTGAAAACGTTTTCTTCAGGCGTTATGTCAGTCTATTACCCAATCTTCTTTCCTTCCATACTCTAGATCTGTACACGCAAACAATATATTTTTAGAAATTTCTTTTTTTTTTGAGTATAAGAATACGAATGATAATTAAGCAGATAACTGATAGGATACCTGGAATAATGGGTTCATTTATCGAACATTCTCTATCCTTTTTAGACTTACTACTCATCCTAGTTTATCTGCAAAGCCTTTATAATCAGATTATTCTGCTTTCGGCTTATAATTTCGCATTTGGTACACTGTATTATATCCATAAAAGTGAGTAAGTTATTGAGAAGTAACAAAACATGCAAGATAGATTAGTAAGTGGACCTATGAAAACTTCAGCAGTAGTCTTAGATGTCTATCTGATTTTGTTACAATTCTCGGTCGATTGAACTGATCAATTAATTCTTCTGTTGTTATAGCCAGTTAATAATTAGATGCAATCAAACGCGTTCAACAAATATACACTTACAGAAACTGCCAAGTGAAGACAGAAACCAACATCTCGCAATGTTTTGTCTAAGAAGAAAATACGCGGAGGAGGGTGTGTTTTTTTATCAGTTGTCCTGTCTCGGTTTTTGTGTAACAAATACCTTGAAGAAAGAATACACACTATTCATTCTACTCTATTTCACAAGAACAACAGAATTTATTCTGTTACTTAGATGGAGGCTCCATTCCTAATGTTGTGATGGTGGTGGTGGAGATCATAGTTGTGGTTGTGTTTGTTAAGTTGTACTCTTGTGTATTGAATCACTTGTTTATTTACTTATAATAATACAATTTAAACAGGTGGGCTTATTTCTTCAGTTAAATTCGTCCAATCACAGTTCAGCTTAAAACTTCATTCCATTTAGCCTAGTTAGTAATCGTTTAAACCATATCAACAGTTTATTTTGTTTATCATCCTCTTTAAATCTATTGGTTCACAGTTGAACATGTTTCCACATGAATATAATGAAAAATTTTCCTGAGGATTAATTATCTTAAAGTTAATTTATCAAGTGAAAGAAAAACAATATAAATATTACGCATAAATAACATTTCGAAAATACACTTTGTAACACACAACAAGATTACGTTTTTTCCATAAAGGAAGTATAACCAGTGTGTGTGTGTGAGTGTGTAACTTTCCAATACAAATTAGAAGTTATCCGTCTCTGTGATTACCTCTTATTTTACACACAGAAACAAGGAATTAAATGACAGGTACAGAGAAAATGATGCATAGATCATTATTCTCTATGATGCTTTTCCTCTTTCTGCAGAATAGTAAGTCGTCATTATCTCTTCGTATATTATGTATAAATTTTATTGCATCTTCATATTCTTGAGGCTAAGTATACCAGTGCATTTAAGAGACGCAGCTGTTTTCACACTTATATGACAGTAAGTTTGTCACTTTGAACATTTAGTTTCATATTTCTTATCATTAAAATGAATGACAAGTGGAGTCCGTTGCTGCGTGTGACCGGTTATATTGACTTCACGTTGAATCTCACAGAATACGATAAGACTGGTTGACTTAACTTCTATTTCAGTTATATGAACTAATGGAGGTATAACAGGCAAAAGCATTGAAACCAAGTTCGACTTGTGTCTAGCAGAATAAACACTGGTAAATTCATGATGACTACTGCCTGTCAAACATGGTAGAGATTTTTAGAGTGTACGCCATTCACACCATAAAAATTATACATCAGTGATGAACGGTAGTTTAAGAAGCAGGATATAGCGATCAAATATAACCATTAATTCGTGAATAAGAAGATAAGAGATTTCTTGTCTGCGATACTTATTTTTTAATAACAAAAATTCAGGTTGTATGCAGCTGATGAGAACCAACGAAATAAAATGGATCCAGATTATTCTGCGCCAATGTTTCTTATCTCTTTGTTCAAATTATATATATGTATTTTTTTTCTATAGTTGGCTTGTAAGGATTAGTTTTGTTTTTTTACGAGCTGACCACAGACTGATATCAGTTAGAGAACCATTGAAAACCAGAGAGTACTGGACAGCTGTTTCATCCTAGTTCGGGAATCATCAGCAGTACGCACCCACTGGGGTTCGAACCCAGGACCTTCCGGTTATAAGTGAAGCTCGTATATATGGGAAAATGGATTTTCCGAGGTGAAGGTGTAAGTCAAAGTGGGTGAGATACAAAAATGCTTGTTGAATAACTACACATGCACTCAGGAGTTGTCATAGTAATATATGAAAGAATAGAAATAGTAACAAAATCAGAGTAAAGTAAATTCGAATGAAATTAACTTCGAAGAATATTATTTGAATAATGATAATCAGAAATAAAGGTGCCTTAAAAAAGTTTTTGTAAACACAGTTTAGTCAGTAAGTTATCCTGCATACACCTTCTGTATTCAGAATACCAGACGTAAGCTAGCCCAGTAGATAGTTAAATAAACCTCCTTATGATACTTCAGCCTAACTTTCTACCAGTAAGCATTCAGGGATGTACTTTGTTTTAAAGTTATCATTTGAAAGACTTTTGAAAATTATTCAGCGATCATGTCATTGGGATAAATCATCTAAACCCGAATATCCATTAATTAGCTTTGCCTTTTGTGTTGGATGCAGTGTTCGTATATCTCTTAGGCAAATAAAGATTGAAAGTTGCGTCTCCAAGTAGATAGCCGGTTCTGAGAGCTTAGAATAACAGATTATCAAATAATATGGAGTCCAGTGGGGACTTCATGATGACTTTATCAATTTCGTTGAACACTAAGTCATAAGATGTGGACTGCACATGAAGCCCGCGTGACCTCTAAGTACTAATTTACTAGTGACAAAATGTTTAACAAAATAGAAAATCTATCTATAAATTTTTTTCAATTTAAATGATAAATGAATATGCGAATAAATGTTGTTAAGGTGAATGTATTAGAAACTCAATATTTACAGATTTTTAATGTCACACGTAAGTGTGTCAAGCTTTTAATACTGGTACTATCGCAGTTCTTCTAACCTATACGCCATAGATTACGTATATAGCAGTCTACCACCTTAAGTGGAGACTGTACTGCACACAGTATACACATAAATGTGTGTTTTAAAGATGAAATCTTTGCTGATTTGAGATCAGACATGTGCCTTAATTCTAACAGAAAAAAACAAAAGAAAAAAAACAAATTTTAAACACTCCTATTTCTTAAAACAAAAACTGGGATATTGTTCATCACTCCTGTACATTTTCTAGGGATGACTATTCAAGAAATAAAATCCATTTGATTAGATACTATTTTTCGCCTTTTATATTCTTCCCCACTGATTCATTTATGAATGTTTTTCAAACTAAAGTTTTGACAAATATCGACATAATCATTCATGAGTGAATTATGCACTAGATAGGCTAAGCTTCTGATACTAATAATCTGTTAGACCTTATGTTTTTTAATAGTTGCAATGCATATTTGTTGATGTTAACTGCAGTTTTTATGCCTCAAAAAATACTAAATCGAATGATGAAAATACCCATTAAAGGTAGTTCAAAACTCAGTTGAATCGGTTAGCACTTTTGAATTTAATTTAAACACTTATTCTATAACTACACAAAAATTTAGAACACATCTGATGTTTTAGTGATCCTTGAATTCCATAATATAGGAGTATTCATATTGATATGGAATGTTCATTTTGTAGATCCACATTCTCCGGAGAGACTGTTCAACCTTAGGGATAATTACCTTCGACAATAATTTGCTATTTAAATATATTTGTTGTAATCAGTAGTTCCGATAATCACCAACAGGTGTTGGTTGATATCAACGACAAGGAGAACAAAAAATGTTCGGAAACCAATGCTTTGACAGATATAGATAAGGCTGTCTATTATAGACAAAAACATCCCTTTTCATTATCATGAAAGACAATGGGATCACTGTTTGGGTCTGATACAGCAATGTGAAAAACTAAATGGGAACTTTTGCAGATTCTGAGTGACTAAAGGCTGAAACAAACTCATTTGGTAATTAATTTAATGTTTAAGTTATAAAAATCTTATAAAACCAACCAATAACTTTATTTCGTGGTAGAATCATGTGGATAGGTGACAAAATATGTAAGTGATAATGCTTCGAAAAATTGGACAGAAAGACACTTCATTAGTTCCCATTAGTGCACGAAGTATTCACTAACTACATTTCGATACTTGATATATTTTATACTAAAAGGATAAATTTTCAACTAAATCTAATCACAGATGAGTCTCAAGTAGGGAAAATTAACTGGTAATAAGGATCTCAGTGATTCACATCAATCAGCTTCGGAACCATCAGTTTTGCGGTGGATAGCGATTAATATCTCTGTTCCATTAATCTGTGATTTTCATCTTCAGCTTTGACTACGGCTTATGTTATCTATGAACAACTGACTAGACTGTCCCTGACAGCTTCAGTCAACTTGTATATCGCTTATGGTAATAATTTGAGGCAAATTTAACAAATATGATTAATTCTCAGTGATTCTCCTGCTTTCATTAAGCTAGTATGAGAACTTACTAAGTTTCTTTAAATATGTGCATCTCTCGGTACTTTCTGTGTGAATCTTAAGCCAATTAGCCAACTAATAATGCAAAAATGTGGATTGGGACAGTTCTTGTTTATCCTCATTTGTTGTTTGAACCCGCACCCTATGTCACTATGTAGGTACGAAGACATTTTATATTCCACTGAAAGCCATACCCTGTAACAATGAAAGTTCATTATATGTAAGGTGTTATCAACAATCATCTCTGAAAAACTGATATCCTACAGCTTGTTATACTAGCCCAATGGTTTCTTCTTTTCTCCTTAGCTTGTTATGCGTTCTGTAAAAAAGGTATCTTGTAGAATATCGACTTCAGAATTATTCCAATAATTTTAAAACTCAAAACAGGCGATATCGACGACTGCTTTTAAGTTTGTGTGGATGTTATATCAAGAATGTCACATTCATGGCTTCCAGCTTAATAGTTATTACCACTGGTAGAGATAAGGTGGTAGTGTTAACACTATATGGAAGGTAAATGAAATTTCTCTTTGGAATGATATCTCCTAATTTAAGTCGCTTGGATTAGATCACTATGATCTTTTATTCATTATATGAGATTTTAAGAAAATGTCACCAAATTTGGAACAGTTTTCCTAATTTCTTTGTAAATGAGTTTAAACTTGACGCTTATGATGACACTTGTTCATTACTGTCAGCATGAATTCTGCAGTCACACCTTCTGTTTAGGAGAACTTGATAATGATATAATTATTATTCCCTAAGGTTGCAGTGGGAAATATGGGGCTTCAACAATATACCTCCATCTCATCCTGTTTTCTGCAGTTGGCTTCAAAATTTCCAGTTAGCTCTCATCTCCTACTTACAAGATCTCCTCCATTTCATACTCGAACGCCCAAACCTTCACTTCCCATCCTCTAATACCACCAAAAAAAACGCTTATCTGAGCTATACTTGCTAACTTTGACAGACTGTATTAGTATGTGTTTTGCTTACATAGTTAGCTTACCGTTCAAACGTGATTATTGATTCTGCATATTTCCTAGATCATTTCGCAGTCACCATAATTATATTTTTCATGGTTCTGATGACTAGTTTACGCGAACGCTTTCGACAATCACATGGAGAAATTTTCTCACTGCCTTTATTCTGATGTGCCATAGTCAGTTTCGAAAAAGAAATATTTTTTCACATGTATTCCTACAACAGAAATTGATAATCTTAGCGTTTAAAAAGAGACAGTTTTATACAATAATTGTTACACTTAAGTGTTTCTGTGTTTTTGGTCAGTACGATTCTGAGTCCAGCTGTTCATCAGAAGTTAATTACAAAACAAATACTTAATAATCCTAGTGAATAAATCAATGAAGTCATCCAGATTATTTTGCAAAACTTCATGGTAAATCAATGGTGTATTTTAAGTACACAAACAAAACCACTTGATGCTATGAAGTCCTGACATGTATTCATTGATTCAGTGTGCCTTGCTTGTTACTTTATTAAGTAGTTTTAAATTTAATACGTGACTGAAACGAGAACTATATGACCTAACTGTGCAAGTTTATTTAAATATATCAGTTTACACTATACCTAAGCCACTATATTTAAAGCATCATTATCAGAAATGTTGTAGATTATTTTATTTTTTTATAAATCTATTGTTAGCAATTGTGTAGTTTACCAGGGAAGCTCTATTTCAGGTGTGAATGTATTAGATGAATATTTATTTCTTCTCCATCAAACTGTTTTGAACGCCTCAGAAATGG